CGGTGGCGATGGAGCGGTACGGTTCATGTGAAGGACAATCATGGTCGCGGGCAAATGGATAGGTAGATCGTAATAGGGGATCAGACTCGGTATCCAGGCCCGGAGAGAAGTCAACAACTGTGGAATCGAGTCTTGAGCGACGGCTCCGTTCGGACGTGGCTATGGTAGACGACGAGTACATGGCTGCCATTGTTTGGATGACGATGATGACAATGGCAGAGTTGAAGACAGTAATAACGGCGGTGACACGGAAGAGGAAGGTGTAGTACACATTGTAGCCATGGGTTTTTCCATACAGCTTCTGAGTCTGATGGCATGGATCGACTCCATCGGTGCTGGCCTAATTTCTTACTGACTTCCTACCTTCCGTGTAGTCACATTATATTGCTGACATGAGCCTGTTGTCGCACAGATGGCGGCACCTCCGACACCATACTTGCCCAATCCGCGGCATGGTCACACATCAATGGACCATGGAAATGGGCGAGGCGACCGGACGGGCAAGACGGGATGTGAATGAAAAGGAAACAAGGCGGAGATGTCACATCGACAGGGGGGCTGACAGGAGTGACAGAAATGACAAGGGCGGTGGCATCCATGTCTTGTCTATGGGCTGGGACTTTGGACTCGGGCCTAGAAAGCAACTTGAGGCACTGGAAGCCTTGGCAAGGACAATCAACCAGGGGGTTGAAGGGTTCTTTTCTGCTTTGCTTCTCCTGCGTTTTGGCTGCCCTCTGCAGCCTGGCACCTCGGCTCACTGGTAGGTAACGTGGCTCCGTGGGTTCCGTAAGTAACGTGCTGGTAGGCGCTAAAGTCACCGTTTCCCAGTCTCCTGGACGTAGGCATCGCTTCGTCCATCATACACTAAATGTGGAAACGTACCTGACACCAAAGACGCACCCAGCCACGTGTAGAACTCGTCCATTGTCCAATCTGTTTGTCCCTGGGGGTTCTACCTTCGCCGCGTAATCTCCCTCCTTGACCCCAGTTCGACGCTTGGCTGAAGGTTGAAGATGACTGGACGACAATAATCCGAACCAACCAATGGTTTAAGACGGTTATGTGATTTATTATCCGGGCCAGCTATGCAACGGAAGGCTCGTAGGGCAGCTCGGAAAAGGCAATTATTAGGACGATAGGCTGCATTTCAACGGCATCAAAGCGCACTGGAGTTGGCACAGAGACCCCGCGGTCTGTGACTCGTGCATGTCTCTTTGTTGGCGAGCGCACTGTGTAGGCGTTGGCCGCGGCGACGAGTTGCGCCCTCTGTGAACGGTGATATTCGGGAGACGCGGCAAACGGGGGTCGTCGATAATAAGCTATGATGTACCTGGAGGTTCAACAGTTGTCAGAGATAGTTGAGGCCCCATATAGCCAGTGTATGGCGTGGCGAAAGAATTGAACAAGCAAAGTGGTTATTGTCGGGGGAGTGGGAAACGCAGAAACGACGATCATGGGAGCTGTCATTCTTGGCTCTTGGTGTCCAAACGGTCGGGCACCCGGCACATACCTCTGCGAAAAAGGGCCCTAGGCAGGGCTCGTCAGTCGGCCTCAAATGTGGTCGCTGTCTCGCTGACTAGTGGCAGCGCCATGCCAACATGTACCCGAGCAGCTCGGAATATGGTGGTTACCGAAAAGTCATGGGTGCAATTGCTTCAATCCGATGCGCGGAAAGGGAATTGAGACGAAGAAGATTGGACCGACTGACCGACAGCTTGTTCCTTGGGTTCGGGAGGATCCGAGGAAGGCAGCCGGTGGACCCGGACGTGCTGATAAGGAGGGGAGTTAGGGTATGGATAAGGAAAAGCGGGACCCCTGGTGGCCGCCCGCTTGCCTGGTCGATGGAATGGATTGACGCAGGGATCGGGTAGTGTAGGGCTCAATTTTGCATCAATCTTCAATTCTTGACCATTCTCACGGTTCATTCTCAACGTGTCATCCAATTCCTTGCATCATGCGTTTGTTCGTCTCCCTCCTCAGCGCGATTCGTGATAGAGGTGAGGTATTCCACAATGGGAACGAACAAAGGGGCAACGGGATCGCTGACGGCCGCTGCCTGATGCCGTCTAGGTAGAGGCCCGCCTAAGAGGCCGTGCGATGCCAAGCTGAGAACCCTAGGTTACCTCGAGGTATGGATCCTTGTGAGAATCAGATGAGATTGCTGGAATTCCCCACCGTTCCTATGCTCTAACAGGCTAGACCGACTCCCCTGTCTCCATCGCGATTGAAAATCCAAAGCGGCCCCTTTTGGCGGTATACAGAGTCCGTTTGAGATTGAGACTGTGACAGGATTCAACAGTTTAACAAGTGCATCGATAGGCAAAATGACTAATGCTTGAAAGGGGCCGGATACACAAAGTAATAGGCCAATGCAAACACCCGCATCGAGCCAGTCTCATCATTTACCATCGGTGGTTTCGGTCTCAGTTTTGGGGCCGTTGCAGCGCTGCACGCAGAGGAACGCACGCCAAGACCCTCTACAACAGCAGTGCGTTCGTTCCGCATTACAGCTTCAAGCAACGCACGGTTTGCAGAATTACCTTGGTGCCCAGGTCGTGATACTTGGCATGGCGTTGAGGTCGCTTGGTCAATGTGCTCATGGCTATGGTGCGTGTATGCGAGAAACCATGGCAATGGCCATTTGACTGTCGTCATCGTAGGTCTCAGCTGTAAATGATCATATAAGGCGGGGATATCCAGCCAAATGAACCATCAACTCCCCCTTCAAGTTCCCTTTGTTTCACCTTGATTATCCCAAACCAGTAACACCAACACCACCAACACCACCAACACCAGTGCAGCTGTTCAGACTGTACCCGAGGTTGGTGCCACCAAACTTGCGATGGGTTTTCTCTTCCGTGCTACCAACACACGCTAAATGCTGGAACAGAAAGCAAACGCGGGTAGCACGGCGCGGCCAAGCTGAAAGCAGCATAGTCGCAACCCAACCGAAGGAACTTTGTTGGTCCCCATCCAGGGTCTCTCAGGGTATCCAGCCAGGGTTTCCGACTCCTCTCAGCGGTCACTTCACGATACCTGCCTAGAGGTACCTGCTTCCTCCCTGCGCCACTCAAACAGCTTTTTCCTCCCTTTCCATTCCCCTTTCTCTTCTCCCAACGCGACTGCTGGTCCGGCTCTTGTCCCGCTGGACTTCGTTTGTCCTTGCGACAGCCGCTCTTTTGCTCTCCATGCCATTGCGGTTCTTGGTTAAGCCTTCGCCTGCTCTTCTTTTTGTTGTTGGATTCAGCTGTTAGGGACCACCCATCGCGCCTCAGCGGGAACCATCGCTCGCATGTCGGTCCTACCTACCTTCTCTCAGCCAGCCCGGCGCCTCCTCATCATTCTCCCTGTTGTTTTCGTTACACTTCTCCTCCTCACCGGCCTCTTCAATCATGAGTCCTTTCGCTCGACCTTGTGAGTATCCCGTCGTCGATCATAGCCCCACCACCTGACCGTCGCTAATAATCCGTTGTTCGTTCCTCTGCCAGGCCAACGGTGGTCATGCCGAAGGTAGTCATCACCACCAACCCCTCCTCCTGCGCTGCCAACCAAACCAGTGGCCCACTCGACAACCTCTCGTCCATCATCCAGGCACTCTACGCGCCCCTTGTGGTTCCCATCACCACCCCCACATTTACCACGCGCGATGGCACCGTCAAACGCCTGCCTCCAGCTTCAGAGCTGATCCACCACAAATCCCTCGGCAAGCGTATCTGCATTCTCGATGTCGACACGCGCCCCCACACCGGTGCTGGCGGCGTCTTTTCCTCGTCCTTGCCGACCTGGGACGCCCTCAGCCCAGCTTCTGCCGGGTTTCTCTCTCACTACCTCTACGCCTTGATTCACGGCTATACCTACAAGTTTGTGCAGGCGCCTACATACCAGGACCGAGCCCCGCACTGGACCAAGGTGATCTTCACGCAGGAGCTGCTGAAGAAATATGACATAGTGGTGATGATGGACTACGACGCCGTCTTTCCCAGCCCCGAGCTGCCGCTGGAGTGGATGCTCAACTACTGGAAGATCGACGACAAGGTCATGGTGGCTATGGCGGAGGATCCGAATGCCGAGGTCAACCGCGACCAGAGGGGGAACCTGAACGTCAACACGGGCTTCATCATTGCGCAAGCCTCGGAAAACACGCAGAGGATGTTCAAGGACTGGGCCGAATGTCCCAGTGAGACGAGATACAAGGGCTGTGCCGAGTGGAAGGGCGTCTATTTCCACGAACAGTCGGGTTTCAGCTCCCACGTGAGGTACGACTTCTTGGACGGGTTGACCATTGCGGAGGAACCGGGCAAGAGCATGATAAGAGCGCTGCCATGCAATGAGGCAAACGGGATCCCCGAGAAGAAGAATTTGGGTTGCACGGGACAGCTGGTCAGGCATCATTGGGGCGGTAAGGAACTGGCGAAGAGGGAATTTAATGACAACATTATGAATGCGATGCTGCCGCTCTTGATACAGTCGGCGTTCAAGGGAGGCGATGCGACGAGTGCAGTGGCGGATTACAGGAACAAGACCTTGGTGGGAGATCAGATTCTGGATAAGCCTCTCTGAGGCAGCAACGTGAGGGAGAAAAGAAAAGGGAAATACAACCGTATCTTAGTAATGTGGAAAACGGCCAGGCGTTTGGGAGTAGACTGGATCTGGTGGAGTAACGAGCCATGAGCCTTGGACGGCTTGGTCCCAGGAAAGACGGATTGTTTGGTCTAGGGTGATCTTCAACGAACAATTCTGCCATGTCGGCATAATATGTATACAAGTAATGTTTGATAGCGAAGATACAAAGACGTGGAAGTAGCAGATAACATCGCAAGTGTAGGTCCATGGGGAAACACTGTTCAAGATCATACTTCTAGATCATAGGTTGTGATGGAGACTCCTCGTTACAGACGTTGAGGTTGCAGTGCATTGCCTGTACAGATGCCAGGCGATGGATGATGCATAACTGCCTGCGAGGTCTACGGCTGAGGATGTCTCTAGAACTCCTGAGATGATCACAATATCTGTGCCAACGACCCGCCTCCCTGGTTCTCACTTCTCAGCAGATGTCCGGTAGTTCGATATTCCTCACCTCTCGTCACAATCTCCAATCTTCCGAGACGCAGACATTTTGCTCTCTCTTGATGGACAGAATCGCTTCGTTTCGTACTCTTCGTTCCCCCAGCCGTGGCCCAAACTCGATATTTTTTCCCTCTGTTGTCCCTTGTCGCATCGCTTCGAGGTTCAATCTCTCTTTGCTGGTCTCGCAGCAACAGGCCCAACATCACTCAGACCGTGCTTCGGTCGTCCATCCCGGTCTGAATCAACCCGAGGATCCAAGAAGTTAGCAATGCGTGAGCCATGAGGACCATAAGTTCCCTTGGGGGCATTGAAACCCACCCCGGATGCGATCTTTTGCGACTCCTGCGTTGATGTCGCCGCTTTTGCGTCGGGGACGTCGCCTGATGGAGGAGAGACATGTGACTGCTTGTTCTCGGTCGCTGGGTTGACAACGGTGGAGGGTTGGTTATCGGGGTAAGGACCGCGCGTGTGAGGGTCGTAGTCTGGTACCGTGGCCTGTTCGCGCTCTTTGGGGCCGAGGGCTTCCTTGATGTTTTCAACGATGTCGGACATGGTGGGCGCGCGGATGCGGTTGACCGCGGCTGAATTCGCTTGGTGGATGGAGAAGGCGGTCGCTTAGTTTTCACTCATTCCTAGATAGAGAGTCTGGATTCGGACAGATTAACTGGAAATATTGGTTGGTGAGAAAACAAGAGATGCGGTTTGCAGAATCGTTGCGAGCTGAGAGTTATGGCCGGGAAGCACAAGAAGACAAGACGAGGGACACAAATGGTAGCTGAAGCAATGACGTCATGGCCGTTGTGCTGGGTAGAGGTAGGCATGCGATAAGATAAGACCCAACGGACAGCGACCGCCGTGGGCTGCATGGGATGGGGACAGGCTGGAACCCTGCAGGGAGCCCGATGATCAACTTTACAACTGAAACATTTCGCGACGAAACAACTTTGGAATGACCAGTCTCATCTGTCAAGCGATCCAATCTGATGAACCTTGACTTTGGACCCCTTCAGGCTTACCTTGACGGCCCCTAGATCCCATAGCGACATGGGAGTGTCTCAACCTCGTCACATCCGACCGAACACAAGCAGTTTGCTGTCCAATTCGATCCTCGCGACCTCGCTCGACTCTTGCAATATCTCGTCCCCAACGCAGTTGTTCTACAATGGCATTGGCCAGTTTCGATCAAAGTACGTCCCATTTACGGCGCTTCGAATCTCCCTCGTGCCTTTCTCCCGGATATTGACGAGTTCTCGGCAGGATCACGTCTTGTGGGGTAACCTCCCGCCTGTGCTGCCGATATCCCCGAATCGGTGCGGTTTCCTCCATTTGGACGTCGTTGTCCACCTCCGGCTACACCGCACCCATGTTACCCCGTCTCGCCTGCGTTTGACCATCGAGTTTACCCCGTGCTGCCTAGCCATCATATACTACGAAACGTTCCAATCGCCAGCCGCATTCGTCTCCGACCCCAGCCTGGCATTGTATACAACTCGGATGATCTACAGCACCAAGATCGTGTTTTCCGGCTAAAATCAGCTTGTCAAACCGTGATGGACGGCCCTTCCCGCCGGGTTCTGGGCCCACAACGAACAGGTACAAAAGGGCATCGCCAAAGTCGTTAGCATCACATCCAAGCCAGCACTCCTCAACTCTCTCTCCCTCGTCGCTATCAACATGGTTCATCTGTTGTCCAACTTGCTGGTCGGCCTCGCCCTGGCTCCGTCTGCCCTGGGCGCCACTTTGCTGGTTTCCCATTTCAGCGGACCTGTCTACACCCTCTCCTTGACCACCAGTGGCACCACCGGCAAACTTTCCATTACCTCGCAGGCTAGTGGCTGTGGCACAACTCCTGCGTGGCTGGAATATTACAATGACACCAAGACTGCCTACTGCTTCGACGAGTCTTGGACTGGAAGTGGTGTCATTACCCAGTACAATGTGGGAAGCGATGGACGCCTTACTCAGTCTGGCCAAACCCGGACCAGTGGGAACACGGTCCACGGCAAGGTGTACGGAGGGTCCGATGGAAAGGGCTTCATTGCCACGGCGCAGTAGTAAGTACCCCTCGATCCTCGACAAGACTTGTTGTTGTCTGACCCCACCGTAGCTCCCCATCAACCATCACCACGTACAAACTTCCCCTCGGACAAGGCCAGGTTCAGCTTGAGAAGTTCACCATGTCGCAACGTGGGCCGAATTCACGTCAGGATGTTCCCCATCCCCATGAGACTCAGCTTGACCCCACCGGAAAGTTCATGCTCGTTCCCGACCTCGGTGCCGACCTGATCCGCATCTTCAAGATCGACGCAAGCACCGGCCGCTTGACCGCATGCCCAGCTGGTCAGGCCTCGCCTGGCGACGGCCCGCGTCACGCACAGTGGTGGAAATCCGCTGACGGCGTCCTTCGCCTGTACACCCTCAACGAGCTCGGCAATTCGGTTTCCTCTTGGAATGTGGTGTACCCCACTGACTCCAACGGTTGCCTCGCCCTCAGCAGAGCGCAGACCCTTTCCACCTATGCTCCTGGCAAGAAGGGTGGTCCGACTACCAAGGCTGCCGAGATTCGTGTTGCTGGCAATTTTCTGTACGCTTCCAACCGCGCGGATCAGACCTTTGGTTCCAACCAGGACTCAGTCGCCATCTACACTATTGATTCTCAGACCGGTGCTATCGCCTGGAAGGAAGCCGCCAACTCGTACTCTTACTATCCTCGCACCTTTGACATCAACAAGGACGGCACCTTGGTTGCATTTGGTGGGCAGACGTCTTCCAATGTAGCTATTGTATCGAGGGACCCTGCGACTGGCAAGCTTGGGAACTTGGTTGCTAACTTGCAGGTTGGTAATAAGGGTAGGGCTGGCGAGGAGGATGGTCTTAGTGCTATCGTTTGGGTAGAGTAATTTGTTTAAATAATTATCCCTTATAGGTATTATAGGACTAGAAGTTGTAGTACTAAAGCTTTAGCGTTCCCTTGTAGTAGTACTATAGATTCGGTTTATATTTTTAGCCTCTATCTCTTCCCTATAATGTATATAATTTACGAGAGAATTCTTATTATTCTTTTTTAATCTTTTTTTCTTTATATAATAATATGTCTTTTTTAAACTCTTGTAGGTTTTTTTTATTAAGATTTTTCTCTCCTTTAAATTTTTCAACTATAATTTTCTCTCTCCTCTTACTAGACCGGATAAAACAATCAGGGTTAGGGTTAGGGTTAGGGTTAGGGTTAGGGTTAGGGTTAGGGTTAGGGTTAGGGTTAGGGTTAGGGTTAGGGTTAGGGTTAGGGTTAGGGTTAGGGTTAGGGTTAGGGTTAGGGTTA